AGAACCGAAACTTGCTTATTTACTGCTCCTTTTAGAGCTCTGTTTAAAACCAAACATCAATATTTCAGGTACGAATCTTTCACAACTTTTAACTATTAAATAAGTTCATACTGTAAGTCACCTTTTCAAACTTTTCAAGGTCAAAAGTTATTGAAAGAAAGATTAAATTCACAAAACGCAACTCAAAACCATAAACAACCATGAATAAAAATATGAATCACAAAAATACAAAAAAACTGCTAGGTATTTGTAGCTCTATCAAACACCAAATATCAAAATATAAGGCAGTAAACAAGTCTCTCTCACGACTTTAAACTATTAAATATGTTCATAAAAGCCTGTTTTCAAACTTTGCAAGGTTAAAAGTAGTCTAAGGAAGATCAAAATCCCAAAATGCAACTCAAAACTATAAACAAACAAACAAAAATAACAAAAACATGAATCACAAACGGCTCATTTGCATATATTTTCCAGCTCTATCAAAAACCAAAGATCAATATTTCAGGCAGTAAATAAGCAAGTATCTCTCACGACTTTTAACTATTGAAAATGTTCATAAAAGTCACTATTAAAATCTTTTTAAGGCTAAAAGTTTTAGAAAGAAAGATCCCATAATGCACTTCAAAATCATAAATAAACATGGATACAAATATTGATATGAATCAGAAAAATACAAAAACAAATCTGCTAATATTTTCCAGCTCTATCCAGCATCAATATTTCAGGCATTAATAAGTAAGATGGTCTCACCGGTGGTGTTTTTTGGGTGGCGGCGGCGGCGGCGCAGGATCTCCACTCTCCAGGGTTTCTCCTGGAGTATCTCTGGAGCTCTCGACCTCTTTATTCAGAGTGTGACTGGAGCTTTTGTTGGCGGTGCCAGGCGTCGCTCGCTCCTCCATCTGCCATTCTCCAGCATCCCGAACAGCAGGAGCATTGATGGAACATCCCTCCGACTCCTCGTCCACTTCATCAATGCATTTATCCAGACTGCGGACGCTCCTGCGCGAGTCCAAACCCACATCTTTAGGAGGAAGAACGGCGTGAAAACTCAACTGGAGTAAAGGAGCGGAGGATAAACTAGAAGCGCCGAGTCTTGGAGGACGGGAAGATGTTTTAGGAGGAACCGGAGGGCTGGATTGAGGTTTATGATTGTTTGAGGAATTAGGAATGATCATCTCTGGCCAAATGAAAGCAGGATTTGAGGCGTCTTTAGGACTCCATTGAGTGCTGACGGCAGAATCTGGGCTGCTCAAATAAAACGTGCGGTTGTTTTCTTGGGTACGAGCCGCCATGACGGTTATGATCGCCTTTTGATTGTCACTGATGTCTGCATTTCCATCAGGCTTCTTCCGCTTGGTGCTTTCTGCATATATTGGCTCCTCAATAGCGTTGGATTGGGAATCAAGATTATGTGGTGTAATCAATAAATCTGATTTGGAGTTTAAAGATGAATTCCCATTAGTTATAGTCCCGGATGTGGCTTTGCATTGGTGTTCCTCTAGATTCACTGGATTTAGAAGTCCTTCAGTGTTTGTTGATGTCACACTTTGGGAATCGCCATTGTTGTAAGTGCTGTTGGGAATCTGTGTGTGAGATTCAGCGTTCCCGTTTACATTGGAAACACACCTATTATCATCCTCATCCGGATTGGAAATCATGCAGTTTTTGGATAATCCTGTAGGAGAACCAATGCTGGATAGTCTCGTAGGGGAACCAATGTTTGATAATCCTGTAGGTGAACAAATGTTGGATGATGCAGTAGGAGAACCAATGCTGGATAATCCTGTAGGGGAACCAATGCTGGATAATCCTGTAGGGGAACCAATGCTTGATAATCCTGTAGGGGAACCAATGCTTGGAGGGAACCTTTTTCCATTTTGTATTATGGTTTCTCTGAGAGATTTATTGCATCCATTGCTGTCGATGTACAATTCCAGAGTTTTCTTCAGTCCCGCGGAGCTCTTCTGGCTGTCCTGAGGTGCAGGAGAAAGTGTTAGGGAGTTCTTGAGATGTGCATTTAATAATACAGTGCTAGTTTACACAAAAACGGGCTGTTTTTTAAGGGTGTAATGATACGCTTATTCATATTGAACTGTTCGGTAAGAGACTTTCGGTTCAAACCGAACGATTCAGACTATCTAAAAAGATAAAAGTGAATAAGTGTACAAAATATAACGCCCACCTCCAAACACGACTCCAGCCAGGCAAACGCTGCACTAGCTCGCAAAATGGCTATAACGTTAATGTAATCCTCCTATAACCAACAGCGGGTCTGGCGTTTGGGAGCACTTTGGTTTCGGTACATTTATAGCTGTGGATATAGGACAGGGCTTAAAATTGTGACTGTTTTGGTCGCATATGCTCCAGAAATTTTATCTCTGCAACGTCAAAATATAATTGGGAGGGCATAAAATTGCAGTTTTCACAGCAAAATGTTCACCACGTGCGCGAAATTAGGAGGCATTCACGCATTCAGCATCTTTGCACCTAAAAACACCAAGCACCGCGCTCGGGAACGGTTTAAAACAGTCGACATGTCAATTTACAGTAAACAAAGCCCGCAATGCTTTCCCCGCCTTCTAGCTCTTCCTATTGGCCCACTGCTCTAGAACAGAACGCGAATGGATTGGTTAATATCAGCTGTCAATCACTCAGTTCTGATGACAGGGAGCTACAGCCGTGAAAACGTACAGGCATGGATACGAGGGAATGAACACAACACTGCCAGATTTAGTTTTAGAAACCACCTAAAGTTACTAATAATGGCAGATCTGATCAGTGATCATGTGCTGAATGTCAATCCAGGATTTACACTTTTCCAAGAGTGGATAAAAGACTTCCAGTGCTTAAAGTCTGCTATGAAATTGACTAAAGTCATTCACTGTAAAGCTGGTGGGACGGAGTTTTTAGGTAACAGTGTTTGCCACTGAATTTACACATTAATCAAGAGATGTGCTGACAGTATTTCAAGAGTTCACACTTAGATAATGCTTGACTATTAAAGCTAGTTTGACATGCTGTCCTGGGAGAGAACCCTGAGCTCGGTAATAGATGAGCCTAAGGCTCCCGCCTGGTTAATAAGCATTAGGATGGATATGAGATCAGGTAGTTCTCGATAGCTTCCCAAAATACATCACTAGCTGCGCTAGTTTGTAGTAAGCGCTTGTGACTTTAACTTTTGCTGCATAGTTTTTGAGTGTGTGAGGAAACCGGAGTACACGGGGAAAACCCACGCGAACACGGGGAGAACAGGCAAACTCCGCACAGAGAGTATCGGTTAGCTCAGCTTGTGTTGAACCAATGACCTCCTTGCTGTGGGGCAACAGTGCTAGCCACCGAGCCACCGTGTCGCCCGAACAGTATAGGAGGGAGAAGGGATGGATGGGGGGGTTTCCAAAACGAAGATGAGGAACGGAGTTTAGGCTGGATATTTATATTGAATTTAGAGTGATCCGATTGGCTAGTTAGTGATTAGTGATAGGGATCAGCTGTAGTCAATCCTATCACGTGCTCCTCTCGAAATTAGTTTGAGAAACTTCACTTATTGCTTCATTTAATTGATGCTGTTAGTCATGCGATTGACACAGCGTTCACCATCGCTAAAGAGCAGACATTCACTGAGATGAAACTACTGTTAACTAATAATCGGGCCGGTAAATTAAAATCAGAGAAATCCTCTGTTTTCCTTTTGTTTTTTTGCTGTATCGTAAACATACTGAACCGTGACACCACTGTGTCGTATCGAACTGAAGTGTGATTTTTGTGAACCGTCACACCCCTACTGTTTTTACACATTAACTTTGAATAAATCTAATTATTATTACCGCTAATTTAAAGAAGACATATCATGCCTCTTTTTTACAAGATGTAAAATATAGGACTTAAGAAGGAAATCAGAATCGCGGGTACATTTTAGATGCTTTCAATTCATTTGATGTACAACAAACATATAATTAACAGTAAACTGGATTTATTATTATTATTAGTGTAAATTACGCAAAATTCTTAAATGTGATGGGAAACATTTGATTCAGTTACTACTTACTATTTAATTCATTGTTCAACTTTTTAAACCATAACAGAGTTGACGATAGCGTTCACATAGATAGAGTTCACATTAATGAAGTTCATATTAACGAAGTTCACAATAACGAAATCGCAATTGGAATTTTGTAATGGTAATTAGAGTAAATTGTAGTTTATACTACAGAGGTTATAAACCAGACTTCGAAAAGTATACTGTATGTATTTATATGTATATTGACGATAGCAGAGTTCACAATAACGGAGTTGACTCTAATTTTGCAATTATAGTAAATTACTATATGGCCCCCAAGAACACATATCATGCCTCTTTTTTACAAGATGTGAAATATAGGATTGTCACAATGCTGGAATTCGATACTAAATCGGTGCTGAGATTTTAAAAACGCTATAAACTGACCCAGCCGAGACTCGAACCAAAGACTTTCTATAATTCTAATAATTTCTTATCATCAGCCAAAATTCATAACCACGCCACTCCAACATGGTCAATAAATAATGGCAGAACTTTAATCTTTAAGACATGCTACTAGCATTTCATTAAAGGAAAAAAAAGTGTTACTAATTCTCCTAACATAGTGTTTCTCAACCACCAGCTCTCATTTTCAGATCGTCAGCAGACACTGAATGAGCTGTAATGGCAGTAACAGACAAAGGAGACCTCCAAAACATGCACTGATGGTGGTCCTCCGGGAACGTGGTTGATATGGCAAAAACAATTGATTAGTTCCTGATTTCCAGTTTAGAGAAGATGCAACACAACTGATTTTGACTCCAAATGTAAACAAGTAATATACAAGCAAACATAATAAACCAGAGAACAGCTGACAGCTATAAATCCAGCTCATTAATGACACAATAACCACTCTAATTACAACCAACATCTCACTTCCCTGCGCAGACGTCTTCTTTATGTGTGTCAGTGTGTGCGGGTGTGTTTGCAGAAGTGATTCAGTGATCCAATTATCTTTGTTTAAACAGCCGGAATGTGTGTGTGTGTGTGTGTATCTTTGGCTTCCTGTAAAGTGAGCACACACACTCTGTTATCATGTGTTTACAAAGACATTCCAGTTTACACCCATATAGAGGAGAATGTTGAACACGCTCTACCTCCCAACCCACCTTGCTCCTCACCATGCCCAGAAATCAAACGGATTCTTTTGGCCCATCATCGAGTCTATCACATAAATGTGCTCACAAATTATTCAAAATCGAAACAAAATGCAAGCAGGCATCTTTAGTTCCACCCACGCCTGCCTCTTTGCCCATTTCAGTTACCCCGGAGTGATGTGTGGTTGGCGTAATGATGCACGGACACGATGGTGACAGTTGGCTCCGCCCACTTGTCTATACTTGTTTAGTCTATAGTGCAAACGCATGAACAGAGGTGATTTACTATAGTGCCAGAACACGCCCCCCGCCCAAAACAAAACAAACTTCAATTGGCCAGATTTTATTCTAAATTACCAAAATTCAGTCACATCTATCTATCTATCTATCTATCTATCTATCTATCTATCTATCTATCTATCTATCTATCTATCTATCTATCTATCTATCTATCTATTCATCCATCCATCCATCCATCCATCCATCCATCCATCCATCCATCTATCTATTCATCCATCCATGCTTCTATGCGTCTATTCATCCATCCATCCATCCATCCTTCCATGCTTCTATTCATCCATCCATCCATCCATCCGTCTATTCATCCATCCACCCTTCCATGCGTCTATTCATCCATCCATCCATCTGTCTGTCTATCGATCGATTCATCCATTCATCCATTTAACCATCCATCCATACGTCTATCCATCGGTCGGTCTATCGATCCATCCATCCATCTATCTATGCATTAATCCATTCATCCATCCATCCATCCATCCATCCATCCATCCATCCATCCATCCATCCATCCATCTATCTATCTATCCCTCTATTCATCCATCCATCCTTCTATGCGTCTATTCATCCATCCATCCATCCATCCATCCGTCTATTCATCCATGCGTCTATTCATCCATTCATCCATCTGTCTGTCTATCGATCGATTCATCCATTCATCCATTTAACCATCCATCCATACGTCTATCCATCGGTCTGTCTATCGATCCATCCATCCATCTATCTATGCATTAATCCATTCATCCATCCATCCATCCATCCATCCATCCATCCATCCATCCATCCATCCATCCATCCATCCATCCATCCATCTATTTATCCCTCTATTCATCCATCCATCCTTCTATGTGTCTATTCATCCATCCATCCATCCATCCGTCTATTCATCCGTCCATCCTTCCATGCGTCTATTCATCCATTCATCCATCCATCCATCAATTCATCCATCCATCCATGCGTTAATCCATCCATCCATCCATCCATACGTCTATCCATCGGTCTGTCTATCAATCCATCCATCCATCTATCTATGCATTAATCCATTCATCCATCCATCTATCCATGCATTAATCCATCCATCCATCCATATGTTAATCCATCCATCCATTCATTCATCCATGCGTTAATCCATCCATCCATCCATCCATGCATTAATCCATTCATCCATACATTCATCTATCCATCTATCTATCGATCCATCCATCCATCCATCCATCCGTCTATCTATCTATCTATCTATCTATCTATCTATCTATCTATCTATCTATCTATCTATCTATCTATCTATCTATCTATCTATCTATCTATCTATCTATCTATCTATCTATCGATCCATACATCCATCCATCCATCCATCCATCCATCTATCTATCTATCTATCTATCCGTCCATGTGTCCATCCATCCATGCATCCATCCATCCATCTATCTATCTGTATGTCTGTCTATCTATCTATTCATCTATCCATCCGTTCGTCCGTCCGTCTGTCTATCTATCCATCCATCTATCCGTTTTTAAACCTGATCGTGTAGCCCTAGTGTATATAAACACCTGTTGAGTGTTGATGTTGTGGTCAGTGTGGAGCTCCGCTGGGCTGTCAGTGTTCATCATGGTGGGTCTGACAGCGATGGTGGGTTTGCTGTATGGAGATGGAGAGCTCAAGCCCTCCTCATCCTCTCCGCTCAGACCGATGCCCGCTGTGCCCGTCTGCCGGTGGGCACTGCGCGGGTGGAAGCAGTTCTTACAGGAGCCTGGTTTCCACACGTGCTCTGCAAACTCTCCACACGCAGACATCTTCAAGCGGAGCGTCTGCCACTGATCAGACTCTACAGCCGGACACCAGCAGCCCACAGGAGATCCAGCTCTATCATACTGAGGAGAAACCTGCACCAAACACAAGACGGAAGTCAGAATCGCGGGTACATTTTAGATGCTTTCAATTCATTTGATGTACAACAAACATATAATTAACAGTAAACTGGATTTATTATTATTATTAGTGTAAATTACGCAAAATTCTTAAATGTGATGGGAAACATTTGATTCAGTTACTACTTACTATTTAATTCATTGTTCAACTTTTTAAACCATAACAGAGTTGACGATAGCGTTCACATAGATAGAGTTCACATTCATATTAACGAAGTTCACAATAACGAAATCGCTATTGGAATTTTGTAATGGTAATTAGAGTAAATTGTAGTTTATATTACAGCGGTTATAAACCAGACTTTGAAAAGTATACTGTATGTATTTATATGTATATTGACGATAGCAGAGTTCACAATAACGGAGTTGACTCTAATTTTGTAATTATAGTAAATTACTTTATTCTACAGTGTTTATGAACCAGACTATAAACTATAGTACTTTAGTTTTTACTACAGTAAACTGGGCTATTGTAATATAATAAAGCCAATTGTTGTAGAAAACTACAGTATTGGGTTATTTGTTTATATTACCAAAGTTAGTGTTACCATAGCAATTTCACAATCACCACAACAAATTAATTACTATGGTTGTTGTGTTACCATAGCAACTGTAGAATCACAACAACAAATTAATTACTGCGCTTGTTGTGTTACCATAGCGACTGTAGAATCACCACGACAGATTAATTACTACGGTTGTTGCGTTACCATAGCAACTGTAGAATCCCCACCACAGATCAATAACTATAGTTGTTGTTACCATGGCAACTGTACAATCACCAGAACAAATTAATTACTGCGCTTGTTGTGTCACCATAGCAACTGTAGAATCACCACAACAGATCATTTACTATAGTTCCTGTGGTACCATAGCAACTGTAGAATCACCACAACATCAGTTACTACGGTTGTTGTGTTACCATAGCAACTGTAGAATCACCACAACATCAGTTACTACGGTTGTTGTGTTGCCATAGCAACTGTAGAATCACCACAACAGATTGATTACTATGGTTGCAGTGTTACCATAGCAACTGTCGAACTATCAAACACATATTTTAATTGATAATTATTTTCTAGAATTTTTATTTAAATCAACTGATTTCTGACAGATTATTTAGTTTTTATTAAATATGTAATTTTAAAGGGGAAAAAAGTTTGATGAGCAGAATTATAAACTTGCTGCCACATAATAAAGTCTTTAAAAACAGGAACAGAAAGCTTTGTCCATTTTGTGCCTGTTTCCGTCGGGGAAGTAAATGCTCTTGTGTAAGATTGTGGCCTCAATAATCAGATGAAAGTACTTCACGCTTACTAGTGAAAAACAAAAGGTGTAAATCTGCTCCTGCTCTCTCTCCTGCTACTAAAAACTGCTCTGGAAAAACTGATTCACACGCCACATCAAACACTACCTACAATAAAGAAACAATCAAACCAACTCTCAACAAGTATGAGCACCACTGACCCTTATGCTCACTTATAATTCCTTCATATTTTTCCTGTTTAAAGAGTGAGGATTTATTAAACACGTTTCTAAACACAACAGTTTCAATAACTCATTTCTAACAGGGTCAGCCAGAATCTGTGGACGTTTTTGCTATTTCTGTGCAGAATTTTAGAAGTATCGCAACAAAAAACTTAATATATGAATTAAAAAAGAATACATTTGTAACTTGTATTTAATGTTTACAATGCAAATCCAATTAGATCCACTGATTTGATAAACAAAGCAAGTCTCTCATGTATTATCTCTACTAAAAGACAGAACATATGACTGCACAAACTGCATTATAAACAGAAAAAAGAGCATTTTAATATTACTATTACATCGCAATAATAGTAGTGAAATGCATTTAAAACACACACACACACACACACACACACACACACACACACACACACACACACACACACACACACACACACACACACAAACACATTTAGATAACTAAATATATAGACATCTGTGGATTTCTGAGACAATCCAACACTAATATTGCTTAAGGGGCTAATAATATTGACCTTAAAATGGTTTTAAAACAATTAAAAACTGCTTTTATTCTAGCCCAAATTAAACAAATAAGACTTTCTCCAGAAGAACAAACAATAGAGAAAATACTGTGAACATTTCCTGAATCTGTTTAATGTCAAATATTGCACAGGAGGGCTAAAAATTTTGCCTTCAACTGTATCTGGACGAAATGCTGGAAAACATATACAGTGATTTTTAATATCTGTTATCGAGGTTCTGTTTTTTCTGATTCACACGTGTGTTCAGTTTATGATAATTATTAGTATAAAATTTTATTATTTAAGAGCAAAAACAAGATTATTGGCAGATTATTTTGCTGGTTTAAAGGAAAAACTCACTTTATTTTGACTCATTATTTCTGAAAACAATACAATCTGTTTTGTTTGTCTAGAAAACGCTAATTGGATGTTTGGACTAGAAACAACACAAAGCATGTATTAGCAGTGCATGATTTCCACACTGAGAGCTTTACTGAACTTTACAGTGTATAAACTAAATGAACTCTTTCCATTCATTTTCTTAAAATACTGAAGTCAATGTCTGTTTTTGTCCAGCATTTTTCAATATATCTTCCTTTGTGTTCAACAGAAGCGACTGATCTCGGATCTGTGAACTGCAGACAGTGTTGTGGTGTGAAACGAGTCTCCGCTCCACATTCCTCACATGCCGAGGCGTCAGAAGACGTCCTTCCAGAACGTGAGAACGGCTCTAAAACCCAAGCGCCGACGGCACAGAAGAGCCTCTAATTTAGGCGGCTTGGGAAAGTGGCGTTAAGATGGACGAGGTCAACACTCTGCTGACCTCCAATCAGTTACTGCTGATCTTCAGTCAGTCTGCGGGGTTACTTGAGCTTTTAAAGGTTCAATTCACGCAAAAATAATAATAATAATAATAATTCTGCAACATTTACTTTTAAACGTATGAGGGTTTCTTTCATCTGTTGAACACAAAAAACTAGATGTTCCAGAAAAAAACAGCCATTAGCCATGCTTTTACCCACATGACTTAATATTTATAGTTAATACTGTGGTTTTGGACCATTCTATGTATTATAAGTGTATTATACTGCATATGCTATATTATTAAAACACTTTTACTGCATATTGCAGTTAGTAAACATTAGGTTTACTACAGTAAATTACGGTGTATTGTAGTATAATATATCCCATAGCTGTAGAAAACTACATTATTGGGACTTTTGCTCATATTAGTTTGTTTGTGTTACCATGGCAACTGAAAAATGACCACAACAAATCAATTACTATATTTGTTGCATTACCATAGCAACTGTAGAATCACCACAACAGATCAATTACTGTAGTTGTGCTACCATAGCAACTAAAATGACCACAATAAATCAATTACTTTTTGTTGTGTTATTTTAGCCACTGTAGAATCACCACAACGGATTAATTACTGTAGTTGTTGTGTTACCATAGTAACTGTAGAATAACAACAAATAAATTACTGTAGTTGTTGTTGTGTTACCATAGCAACTGTAGAATCACCACAACAGATTAATTACTATGTCTGTTGTGTTACCATAGCAACTGTAGAATCACCACAACGGATTAATTACTGTAGTTGTGTTACCATAGTAACTGTAGAATAACAACAAATAAATTACTGTAGTTGTTGTTGTGTTACCATAGTAACTGTAGAATAACAACAAATAAATTACTGTAGTTGTGTTACCATAGCAACTGTAGAATCAACACAACAGATCAATTACTGTAGATGTTTTGTTACCATAGGAACTGTAGAATCCCCAAAACAGATCAATTACTGTAGTTGTTGTGTTACCATAGCAACTGTAGAATCACCACAACAGCTTTATTAAAGTACTAACCTATTGTAAAAGTTAAAACACTGTATTTACTATGAAGTACTACAGTCTTTAAGTACTATGGGTCTAAATACTACAGTATTTTGTTTTCATGTTGGCATCCAAAGATGCAAATGAACCTTATGTGCAAACTGGCATATGCCATAAAACATTAGTGAATAAATTAGCATTTCCATCTAATTAGAAACAAAAGAAAACAAAACCCTGACGTTCTGCTAAACCCGCACAAGTAATGATCAGAGATCTGGAGATTTGCGCTGGAGGATTCTGCACTGTGCTGTTTGTTCTCTAATAAATGAGTTGCGCCTCAGAAGACCAAGATGTGAACGCGGTGAACGCTGTGACTTTAGGAGGCGTGAGACGCTGTTTGGGAGCCCTTTCCATTAAGCTTTTTTTATGCGGTAACCCAAAAGATGCATAACATCAGGCTAATCTGAACATAGCAGATACTTCAGTATATCTTCCTTTGTGTTCAACAGAAGAAAGAAACTCATAGACGTTTACAAGCACTCGAGTGTGACCAAATGATGAGGAAATGTGTGTTTTGGGGTGAACGGTCTCTTTAAAGGGTCACGAAACACCAGAACACATGTGTTGAGCTGTTGACAGTCGTATGTCCCACACTGCTATAAACACTATTAGGACACCTATATCTCACTAAAAAGTGTAAATTGGTTGTTTTTGCGTTATTTCAAGCAAATTCGTACTTCCGGTTTGAAACGAATTTTTGAAGCTGCGTCACGGTCATGACATAATAGCGTGTATTCCAGCGTGCAGACTGGACAGAGTGTGTCTTATTACGTCTTACAGTGTGCTGCATTAATGCATGAGTAAGGCTTGGTTCAAACCAATCAGCGCGCTCTATTGTGCAACTTCATTAATATTCATTACTGTCACAGTGTTTAGACGACAGAGACGCCACGTTGTGTTGGCAAAACAAGCGTGAAGTGTTGCTTTTATAGTTTGCTGCAGTGAAGTTTTGTTTTCATTTTCTCTCTGTGAGAGCTCAGCTGCCGTCACGTGAGGATTAACAGTGTACGCGACGCTCGACAACAATAACTTACGTGTCTAAGGA